GGCGTCTGGATGGTCACGTGGATAGCGCGAATAGTGGTGGTCCAAGCACGGGGGTGAGTGAGCAGGCGGTGCCGCGTGACCGACGGACACGCCGTGGGGCTGCAACGACTGGCTTATTGGACGTCAATCGACGCAACTCACCACACACTAACGCACACCACGCGAGGGCAACAGTTGTGATAGCTTGTGTGCTTTCGAAATACCAGACTAGATGTGTTGTCTGTTCCTCACTGCACTGTAACCAACAGTCAAGTTGGCTACGACCGTTAGACCGGCTAATTTGATTCAGATGTGACTCGGTTTTCGAGTGGTAGACTTGGTGTGACCACGACTGCAGCGGCTGGCGGGATGCACGTGTGGCAGCTGCGTCATCAACAAAACAGTAACAGTTGGGTGCACCAACTCTCCGCTTGTGGTTGCTCACTCAAACACTGTCAAAACCGCCGGCTTTGAAACAATCACGAAGAGCACATCATGTTCGAATGAGGTCGGTCAAAACAGCTAATTATATTGACGTAAAAAGCCAGATTTAGTGAAGGACCTTCCAACTGAACAGTCGCACACACACACACACAGGCAGCCACGTTCCCCAGTGAAAATAACTCGAGTATAAGACAAGAACTCACACATTGACGACAGCCACGTCGTTGCTCGTTCCACGGTGCGAAGAGCGAACTGCCGGGGCAATCGTGTGCTTCTATGGGACGAGCCAAACCGCTGACGTGTAACGTCTGAGCTGCCATCGTCCACACACTCCACGTTCTTCAGCCAGCTGCAACATTCTGTCTGGTGCTAGCATCGACAACTGGCAAGCACACACAGTCAGTGCTCAGGGCATCACTGTGTGTTCACCACCACTTGATGCGGCGTGTTCGGTGGCGGCGATGGACTGACACACTTTAAACCCGCCTGTGACCACATGGTAGATCTGTTTTAGCATTTTCTCAACACACACACACACACACACACACAAACGCATTTCGCTTCCTGTGAAATTTGATCCAAACTTGCATTCCCAACGTCTCCAATTCCCGGTGCATCTCGTCTGTCTTTCTCGTGAAATGTCCACTGCTGCCTCGGCCACTCGACGACCCTGTGACTCGCAACTTCTTTGCGTGGTTGGAAAAACCACACGGCGCTTTTGATGAGCACAATGTGTAGCAGATGGTTGATTGTGGGAGTGGAGGCGGAATGAATGAGGCGCAGCGTGTGTTTGTGTGTGTGTGTGTGTGGGTGGATTCCACATAATTGACTGGTCTCGAATATAACCTGCACATCTGCAATAGTTCCAGGTGGTCACGTGCTGGTGCGCCTCGTGACCAATGGGAGGCCGTGTTGGTGGTTTGTGCTTTGATTTCACCCAGACTCTCACTTCACGCAGACTATTACCAGCTGCGTGCTTGTTGTGAATCGAGTTAAATCACGCTCGTTAGTTAGTCCGGCCGCTCCATTCTCCGACACACCTCACTGATTCGCGCCATCACAAGTTGGAGTTGTGAATACACACGAGCCAACGTCACATACGCAGCACAGACAACAACTTGCTTGAACCATCTAATAGAAAAAGGTTTTTCCTGCCCAACTCAAAGCGGTGGCCACGTTGCACCTCCAGAGCACCGGCCGCGACCAGCAACACTCATTTCAGCACGTCGGTTCTGGTAGCGCTTAAAACTAACTTTACGGACAACTTGTGCATCGCCAGTGGATGATCTCGTCACGAATGCGCCTCACAAGTCGGGGTGACTAGCTAACCTCACACTAGTTGACACGGCATAGCCACGAAGATGAAAAGTCGTGTAGATGGGATTTAGTTGAATACCACAGCTGTGAGGGTGACTAAAGTGGTGGCGGTGTTGTGGACTGACAGCCACGTCGCGTGAGGGATGCGTGCATGAGGGCCCGCGTGGACCAATGACTCACTCCTTCCGTGATTGGCCTCTGTCAGCATTCGCCAGTTACGCACACGTACTCATACACGCATACAATGCCACTTGACAAATAAACGGTCCCGTTCTCTGTCGCCTCCTCCCTTCCCTCTTCTCGGGCAGTCACGGGTTGTTAACTAGAGGGTTGTCGGGTAGTGCTAGGTGTCTAGCCACTGCAGCTACGAGTAGAATTCGTTTCAAGCCATCTCCTTTTATGCCAACCAGGAGTACCCACCTACGATCCCTCGTGCATTATCTCGATCCACACGGAGAAGTCTTCAAACCGACCATCCGACCCACACCCGCCTTCTCACCCAATGCCGATGCCGAACGCCTCAAGAAAGCCTTGAGTGGAATCGGTAAGTGTGGTGCTTTCGCACCAATCACAACCTCTTTCTCATTGGCACACGTGTAGTTCGTCACGCTGGTAACACCAGTTAACGAGCTCTGTCAATATTACTGTTGTGTAGGCTGCATTAGGCGAAACTGCGGATATCGGAAGTGATCACAAGTGTTGCGTAGCATAACATAATGCAATTTGCAGTGGAACGCACATGTTTGCAGAGTACTGGAGTAGGTCTACGTGTAAGTAGGGGTTGTCGTTGTTATTGCTGTTATTCGTTGGCACCAAGTCACGGCAAGGCGCACTAACCAAATGACACCTCAAGGTTGATCTTGCATCCAAATGCACCTAAAGGAGACAAAATTTGTCAATCTGTTTAGGCACAGACGAACAGGCGATAATCGATATTCTGGGTCAGCGGACAAGTGCCGAGCGGCTGGAAATCCGACAGACATTCGCGGCCATTTCGCAAGAGGTAGGCTCCCACTCCTCGCATTTTCACACCGACGCCCTCCACTAATCTCGCTCTCCCCTCCAATCGACTTCTGACGCACTGAACATCATCGCCTCTGCCAACTAATCAGCACATGAACATGCTGTTTGGTGTTTACTGAAGCCGCCAGCCATTCACTTATTGATAGGCAATTTGGCTTGGCCAGTTGCGCTAAGCTCACAATTGCATTTGTCCCTTCCACTAGTAGTAGCAGAGGTAGTTGTAGTAGTAGTATATTTGGTGCGGACACAGGGATTCTGGCATGTTATCATCCATCCATCAACTCATTCAAGCAACTCCACATGCAACCGACTTAGCACCAGCTGATGTTGTTATCTGAACCAGTGCCGATCGCACGTTTGGCATAGCCAGAGGGCTACAACCCACCGAACGCCGGTGTGACCCCATTCACGTCCGCAGCTGGCATTCAGCTTCATGACCTGAACGGAGGAGGAATTCAGGTGGAGCCTGGTGCGTGTTTTATGTCCCTACTGAGGCACATCCAGCCGGTAGTGCATACCAGCAGAAGTGATAAAGACACACCTAACTGCAACGTACGCCCAGCAGTACAGTGTGAGCCTCTAGCTGGAGCACAAGCACGAGTCAGAATGCTTGATTTGAAGAAGGCGGCTGCATCCACCCTCACTCACTCCCTCGCCTTGCTTACGCCTACACACACTTTCGAAGGGAAGGAGGGTTGGGATGTTAGCAGCGTAACTGGGCTAATTCACTGCACACTCCTCCATGCAATGCTGACTAAGCAGGCAAACGGGCGCCACCAACACTGGAATAGTCAGCACCTTCGGAAGAATCACGCAAACCAAGCACCAACAGCTTGACATCTTCGCGTGCAATGCCTCACGCCTTCTTGCAACACGCACCTGCACACATTGGCAAGGTTTGTCGACGAAACACGCGTTAAACAAAGACTACAACAACGAGACACGAGAACTCACGAGAGTGCGTCCGTGCGTGTGTGTGCAATCGATTCGTGCGTGGTGTTAAGGCATCAGTGCAAAAGCCCGCATTGTCACATGAGGTGTGTGCGATGAGGAGGTGATATCGAGGTCACCATGTGGGTGGAGCAGACAAACCCAGCGCAATGAGAGAAGGCAGGGTTGTTGTGGCGCTGGCGTAACTGTTTGCCAAGCGAATCATAGCGCCTGAGTTATGCAAAACTCAGATGCGTGTAGAAACTGTGGTGGAGGTGAGGGGGAGGCATAGCAGTCGTCGATTCCTCGTCTCCACAACATCACGTGCGTGGGTACATATCCGCTGCATGTCCGTTGTGTGGCCCAGATGTGGCCGTGTGAGTGAGTCACGTGTGTGTGTGTGTGTGCTGCCAATGCTCGTTTTGCCCACGAATTCACAAGTCCACATGCTATCTGTTGGGTGGGGTATGCTAGCAGGGGGTAGGACACGTTTAAAATCACAACCCTGACGAAGTGGTCCAACTTGGCCTCAATTGAGATCTGTTTGGGAAATGTTGTCTTCATGTGTTGCTCACTTTATTAACGCTTGCCAATTCATTGCGATCCAATGAGTTGCGCTCGCCGAGTGATTCACGCAGACGCTCCCCATTGTTCTTCTTCCGCCACACCGAATTGCATCTTCAGCTGACCCCCTCTTTCCCCTACATGCCTAAATAAGGCGTCCCAACTGCTCCTCACTTCTCCCCTGACGACATATTAACTTCGAGTAGGCGCATATTAATGTGTTTGTAGCGGAAAACGCCGCCAAAGAGGAACGTTTCATTGCGAACAAATGAGTAACGAACAAGCGAAGACGCCACCGCTTTCACCGTCAGCAAACGCCTCCTTTCGCTTGCACAGCGTGCCCTTGATTACTAAGGGGTCCAAGAAAGAACAACGTTAGCCGAATCACGGCATGTTTGATGCTGAGTGATTCAGGCACTGACAGCACCCAATGCCCGAACTTCATTCCAACGGCTGCTGTGTGTTGGACCGTGTGTGTGAGAGTGATCGGATGCGCGAGTGCTGTTGTGAGTTGCGTAAACGGAGGCAACCACTGTTGACCGGAGGAGAGGACGCACCACCAGGCTACTCCACAGCTAAACACTCCCAACTAGCTATCTCCACCCATCTGCCACACTTCCATCTTCGTACACCCACCTGTACCACTGTACTGCCTTCACCAGATCACGGCTACCTGCTACACCCGTTTTTCTGCAAGCTTTACCATGTGATGGTTTAATTGACCATTGTGTTTGTGGATCCGACCGTGGCGTTCTGACTACCTAGTGTGCTCTATTTGTCTCTTAGTTTAAGACTCTCGCGGACTTAGGTTCGAATCTGTTGTATCGTTGAGCCAATGGCGACACTGGTAGTCGGTATCCGGGTTTCCCTCACAGTCAGTTTTGCCTTTTGCCTCATTGACCTGGTTCTCTATCGTCTTGTAGAGCCTTCATGATGCCCTGCACCGGTGTCTCAGTGGGGACTTTCGGGACCTGGCTCTGACCCTCACGAAGACACCTTGGGAGATAATGGCGGAGGCGCTTTTCAACGCGATGCGCGGATACGGCATTAAGGAGCGCGTCCTCAACGAGATCCTCAGCTCCTGCTCACGCGACGACATACCAGAACTCAAGAAGGCCTACGAAGAGGGTAAATGTCGTCTTGGCTTGTGCCGAAGCTGACCTCTTTCGCCATCTGCACGATGCACTTTGGAGTTAGGCCTTCGGAGGCACCGGGGGGATTCTTCATGTTGTTAGTTGGCCCGTTACTGCGTAACGACGGTGAGGTCGTGGCGGATGGGATCATTTGGGTCTTTTAGCAGAACGGCTAACATGTCGGACCAATGTGTGTTTTTGTTTGAAGTCTTCGCGATGCCCAAATGCGACACCTGCACCCGTTTTTCTGCAAACTTTATAACTTTGGTTGACCTGAAGTGTGTTGGATGTATTTTGTCCTATTTTCGTTACTGCGACATAAAAATCACTACTGCCTTCTTATGAAGTCTAGGAAGCTGACAGTGGTATAAGAGGCAACAGTCAGCTTATTTATTCTTTGTATAAATTAGCGTTGGTATGTTGGTTTCGTCCTTGCAATTTTCCGACTCGATTACAATGAGTAAATGCTCCAGAAGTTCTAAGTCTGTCAACCCTTGGTGTGACTGGTTTTGATGAGTCCAGGCGGCATTTGAAAGCTTTTAACATCTCATAACTTCAGAAATAGTTGTCTTCTTTTTAGGAGTATTGTATGTTACAATTTTAACCTTGCAAAATGTGGATTTGAAATAAATGAGTAAATGAATGCCCTAAAAAACTCTAAACCCTTAATCTAGAACGTGAAAGGGAGGTTCTAAAATGAGCAATTTCGTACACTCACCTCAAAATACATTAGATGAACGTGTCTTTTTTGTAAGTACTTATTGTCTAGTGTATTACTGAGTTTGTCTAATTGTGTTGGTATGTCGAAATGGGAAGTAGGGGGTTATCGGTTCATAAACTCTTAGTTAGACGTTATTGCATTCGGTGGCCAATTGTATGCACAATTTACGATATTCACGCGACGTGTCCTCCGAAATAGCTTGCAACAGGGTCTCCCCATAGAGTAATTCATACCGCTCCTTGATGCTTTGTAGATCAACCTACAAGGGAACAAACATAGATTCGAATGATAGCCGTGGTAGTTGTGATGGTATGTCGAAATACTGGACCAAAATTCACATAGGCGTTTATCTGAACGATAACTAGTGTGCTGACGAAGTAAGATGAGCTAACAGTTAGAAATCCGTGTATTTTAACGACAGTTCATCCATAGTCGAATCAAAACGACATCCATTGTCTTTATGACATGTTAAACGCAGATATGAATAAGCTCCCTATGGGAAATTGTGAGTACAAAATAGTTTTTGACTTACAAATTTCCACTGAAACGAAAGAGTATCATTCAAAGTGAGGGTTGCCCTGATCATCATTGCTAAGCATCGGGAGCCGAATTATACAGCGACTGGAGCACGCTGGCCCTCGAAAGTGCTTATTTTTCAAGGTAAATAGAGTTTGAAAGGTAAACATTTGGTTGGAAATCTGTGGGTAGTCGTATTTAACGCTGGCATGGTGGCTATCAAGCTGATCATGCCTCATTCAGGGACATAAATATGTCCCACCTATCTAGTGGGGACATATAAAAGTGGGCGGATTCCGAAATGTCACCCGGCCTTTGGCTGAAACAGTAAGCCTCCCTCCTACGAGGTCATGTGCCTGTCCTGGCACTGGGGTCGTGGGGCCTTGCATACTGGTTCACTGGTCGTGCGAATTGGTGCTTACCAGCTGATGCCAGCGCTTACAAGTTGACGTATTTGGCAGATCAGGTACACACATGTCCCCTGACTTGTAAAGTAACACGGCAGTCAAATCAAGAGGCAACTTGGAGACTAACAAAACGGATCGGCAAAGTAACGATTAACCAATGCCAGTTAAACGGAGTAGTCGCATCTAGGGGTAAAATGGCGGAGATACTTAATTGTACGAGTTAGTAAGCCGTTAAACCGAAATCTTTACCGTGGCTAGGACGTTTCTGACTGGGTAAATATGACCATCTTGTACGATAGCTAGTGTGCGATGAGTAGGGAAATAAAAGGGAACAGTCAGTCCCAAACAGATGGCATTCCAGACAGGCGAGGTTACAAAACCAGTCTGTTCACAGCCCAGTTCTAAACGTGTTCAAAATATTGCCTATTTCCCAAAACGTGTTGTATGAAATTCCATTCGACCCTACAATAGGCTGCAGAAAGGGCTGGAGGATGTTTTGACTGCTTAAACGTGCTTGAGTTCTGTACTATTCATCCGTACTCTAAAGTACACATAAACTCAACACAACAGAAACCGCCAATGCTGTGCGATATTACTAAATTTTGAGTTTGGCGACCAAACTAAGTCTCACACATTTTGATCCGAGCGTGCAACGACCGAAAACCGACCAGATCTGCTTAATTAAGTAATGAATTAGAAAAAAATTGTTGGCAAAAGCCATTTGCAGAATCCCAGATTGGGCTAGACCGGAATAGTAGCATTCACGCAGTTTTGAATTACGCATTCCTGAAGCCAGTCGGCTACACGGAAAGACTGAGGCTCAAGATGAAACGGTTTTCCCTTGAGTGGCTAAAACGTACGTCGGCTCTCAAGGCGAGAATTCGCTGCAGTGTGGCATCCTTCGTCCCCGGTCCAGCGATAGCGAAGTGGAACAGTTTGGCGTAGAACGTAGGTCGATCGAGGGCGTAGGTAACTGAGACAGAAAGAAGGGCTTTAGAACCTCTAGACTAGAGTAGCTTTGGACTTGTCCATCCACATCCCATCATTACTCCGAAATACTATTGCCGAACTTTACGTCACTGTGGCATAAAAGGGATTGAACAGACACGAAATTGTTCCTTTGAAATTGGGAAAAGGATGTTTGAGTTTCCGCAGTGACCTGCTACAAAGTTAATCAGTCCACCGAAAAGTTGTTTGAATCACGCAACAGATATAGCGTCTCCTATAAGTCAAACCCTAGCCAATGTGTTCACGAAAACTATACAAACCGAATCTGAGCGGTTTCTAAAATGCTCAGAACTCAAAATATTTAGGCTGTTCCCGGAAACTGGGAGGAGTAATCTGTGTTAACGCTGGTAGACAAAATGCTTTTCTATTGACCATCTGTTGTGGTTGACATGTGCGTCATAATCGCAGCTGAGATCCAGTTTTTTACAGCAACGACAAACACAGTTGTGCGAAACAAAGACAAAGGAAGTAAATGAACACGACGCGATGAGGTTACATACCACGCGCTTGCAGAAAGTGCTTGAAACTGCCGGTAGTTCCCTTCTTTATTGCACTAGTGACGGAGCTGCCGTAAGTCTGTAATTGGAAAAAAGTGGCCCTGTACACTCCTGCAGCGAGCCCCGTGTGAAAGTAAGTGGCGCAAGACTGACCTTCAAGTAGGCCTGGTCTAAGGCGTAGATCTGCCAGGGTGATCTGGTAATTATGGTGCGCATGTACATCGCCTTGACTGCGTCAGGACATCTAAAATTCGGCAAAGAATACTTTTAAGTTACAAACGCTGGACATTGAACAAACACAGAAAATGCTTCAAAAGAAAACCATTTGTAGAAGTCTGAACGTTTAAGTAACGATCAAAGCGCTTTTGTTTTTGACGTTCCCAGATATAGGCTGTTCTTAAAAATACACTAATTTTTGGAAGTCTTCTCATTTTGCTCATAGGGCGAAAGGATTGTCTTTCTTCGAAACTGTTGCCAGCCCTTATGGCCATGCGCACGCACTATTTTCCCCACCCTTCAAAGTACGCGCGTTTTAACTCCGGTGGAGGAGCTTTATTATTGGCCCTGTAGTGATTCCTGTTGGGTCGGGCCCAATTCGTTGCGTACTCAGACTTGCCACTACAATCGATCAAGCGGAACCGTCTGTTCACACCAGTAGGGTTCGAGACCACTTGCCGGGGCCATAGACACCCTTCGGAAGTCGAAAAAGGCCAATCGAATCGGTCAAATCTGTGGCGAGCATCAAGCCAGCACAGCTAGCATACGTGAGCGAACACTAGTCAATCGATTTTTTCGTGAATGCACTGTTGTGGACAGACAGCATGTGTGCTTGTCTGACTGTATGAATGACTCACCCTCTTTGTTATTGATTTTTGTTAGCGGTCGCCTGTTACGCACGCGTATCGATACGCACGCAGAAGTTGGTAACTCGACTTTACGTGACTTGACTTGACTGGCGTGACGCTAATAAACGGTCGTGTTTTCTGTCGACTCATTTATCGTCTCTCTCCTCGGGCTGTTAACTATAGGGTTTCGTGGTAGTGCTAAACTCGGCCGCTACAAACCTCACCTCTCTCCACTCTTGTGTATCTCCTCAGCATAGGTCTCCGCAACCAAGGGGTTGGTAATTTCGTGCACGGTCTCGGGCCGCAACCTCCTGAGCTTCACCGCCGAGGGTTCGTCTAGCGTCCCCTCAAGGATCTGCAGCAGAGCATCTCTGTAGTCCCCAGACGTCTCGGTGCGAATATCCTTCACCAAGTTGTGCTTCGGATAGGCTACAAGTAGAGACTGGTTACAGCGCGTCCATGGCAGCGGTAAGCTGTGACAGGCTAGAATTTGTCCAGGAATTAGCAGAAGCTTGGCAAGTACATCCGCATAAGCAAAGTAGCAGTTTAAGCATTTGAACGGCAGGTTGCACCATAGCAGCATCGAAACCGCCGCTTGCGTTGCCTAGATATTGATGTTGCTCAAGCTTAAATCTAACCACGTGTGCGGCAAATAGCATTGCGCTGTCCTTGTTTCGTAAGATCCTATTAAGCAGTCGCGTTTAACGCATAATTGAGGTAAATTTAAGGGATTTGAATTCTCGTTGAAGGGAGTTGACTGCCGCAAAAACGCATTTGGGACACTGGTAGTTTGGTCCTGGTTCCGTAGGTAACTTGAAGTCAATGTTAAGAATGTAAGCTAAACGAAATGTAGTACATGTCCCACTTCTCATGCAGCAAGACTTGGAAGGTCTGGAATATGATGAGGTCTGTTTTCATTTTATTTCGAAGAAAACGGTGTCTACGGGGTGCTGGCTCTTTGTTTCGATGACAAAAAATCAGCATCACAGTGATACTTACTTACTTTATTACAGTTGGATATTTAAATTAGCAAATACCTTTCCACTCACACTACTTTTGACCCTAGAACAACTAGTATAAAAAATAAAACTTGAATGTACTCCACGACTAAACCTTCTGCGTCCAGATTGTTCGACGCAGACGAATCGTCCGAGCCTCGCCTGTTGTTTGATTCGTGCGGTTGTCAAGATGCACAACCCCTGCACAAGGGGTATGGGATTCGTATTGGTCAGAAATACTTTCTGGCTTACCTTTAGGTATTTTCTTACGGGCTACATAATGAATTTCATTTGAAACTGGCGGCACATGCACACATCTAATCAATGAGTAGTTCTACGAGATTTCAGAGAGTGTATATGTAGTCTGCAATTATGATTTTTTGTGGATAGCATCTCCATTTAGGATGCCTCGGTTTCCTTTTAAGTTCATTTACTTGTGTCAGGTGGTATGTTCAAACCTCTTGCCTGGTGTGATGTTTGTACTTTAAGAATAAATGGGTGTGAGCATGTGGCATTTGGGGATCGCGAAGACTTCAAACAAAAACACACATTGGTCCGACATGTTAGCCGTTCTGCTAAAAGAACCAAATGATCCCATCCGCCACGACCTCACCGTCGTTACGCAGTAACGGGCCAACTAACAACATGAAGAATCCCCCCGGTG